GTTTGCTAGCAATCGAACAAGAAAGTCACTTTGGCCGAGTGGTTAAGGCGTGTGCCTGCTAAGTACATGGGCTCTGCCCGCGAGAGTTCGAATCTCTCAGGTGACGTAATTTTGTTTTTGCTTTCTTCGGCCTTTTTTGCTCTAACTACATATAATCTGATTCTCAGTGACAATAGCTTCAATAAGTTTGATTACTCTGATTGTTTTGGTAAAAAATTGGATTTGAGCATTAGTAGATCTCTGTTCACTAAAGTAAAGAAAGAAGACAAATATATGCTAAACAACTCTTCTTTTGTAGCTTTCTCGTTGTTTATTCAAAACTTCTCATTCAAAAACAAGAGGCAAGTTCATGAAAGGCCTACTTTTCAAGCATACCGCTAACGATTTTGCTGGTGACGAAAGAAAGCGTAGACGCTCCGATCGCTATCCCGGTGTATTCGAACATGGTCTTGAGTATGTCCATGTCAAAAGCGTAAGCTTTGGCAAAGGAGAGGAAGATTACGCAAAGCAAAGAAACGACGAAAACAACCACAGCTTTGTAGTGTTTCTTGTTAGATCTTTTGAAAGAGAGGCCATAGAAGAGAGGAGGGATCACACCGAAGAAGATGAAGGAAGCCACAACAACGAAGCAGTGAAGCTTGACGTTTATTCTGTTTCCAAGTAAAATCTGGTACGGATCTTCTGCTACCACAATCGTCATATGATCATTGTTTGCACTATGGTATCGTGGTTGATATGTTATGAGTCCATTTAGCTGCAAAAATATATCCTCTTATGTAATTGTGAATAGTTCTAATCAAATTTCTAGTGAATGAACTTGATGAGAAAACAGAGTATCGACATGCTCTGTTTCCCTTGGAAAAACAGAGTGTATGCTCTGTTTTGTCAAATAAAAAAAAACAGAGGAAACAAAACGACTCACGTTGTGAATGATGAGGAAAAGGCCACTGAATAAATTGGCTAGCCCTAAAACCATTATGTTAACTGCAAGCGAATGTTGAAGTTAGTTTGAATTGAGATGTATGAAGAAACTCCATGTTGTGTTTGTGTGTTCATGTGTACTTACGAGTTGAAGCTCCGGAAGCAGCAGCTGACGATACAACACCGAGGCTCGTAAGGGACATGATTAAACCTCCGTAGACAATACTCTTCAAGATGTCTAGTTCTGTATGTGAGACTTTTTGAAATGAAACCTCAATATATTTCCACAAGATCGTTGGAGCTTTCTCTGAAATTATGATTTTGGTTGTTTTTAGGGTATCATCAGGTGGTGGAGCCGGAATGATTTCAACTTCTTGTTTAGGAGGAGGATATGGCTTTATATCTTTCTTTTGACGGTCTAGAATCGGCACATACACTAAAAAGAAGAAATGAGGGAATCAAAGTTTTGCATTCATCACTCCGAACAAGAATTAGATTATTGAGACAAAAAGATATGGAACAATACCGTTGTTATCCTGCTTCGGTTTAGGAGTGATCTTTTTAACTAGAGATGGTTTTTGGTTATCTTAAGAAAATAAAAGTAAAAGTCAAGAAGATGACAAAACTACTTATAAAGGAATGGCAAAAGACTTGTACCTTCTTCACATGTACCATTTTCATGGTTCATAGGATTTGTATCAATAATAGGAGCCCCAAGGATTTTGTCATCACGTTTG